CAACAGTAAAACGTAAGGCAAAATGAAAAAAAATTGTTTTATGACAATTCTGGTACCGATTAATTATGCAAACTTTTTTTTAAATTTCTTTAATTTTTCGTTTTTGTACCTTCTTGCATGGACTGGCCCATATGGTATGAGTTTTGCCCATCGTTGACAGTGCACTATAGTTGTTTAAATTTTCGTATTTTGCATCTGGTTGATAGCTGTCTCATTGATGGGCAATCAAACCACATCTCCTTATTGTTATACTGCTTGTCAAATATTCTTTACTCAGTCTTCATGATAAACTTTTGAATCTACAGGCCCGTAGCTGAATTTAATTTAACGAAAATTCTAGTTAGATTCTATTGGCCTGTAGAGACGATATTTACAGGCCCAAATCATTTTTATTAGCCTGGGCTGGTTGACATGTGGTTGAGCGTGAAGACTGTTTACAAGTATACTCGATTTGCAGGATTTGATATATTATAATAGATTATCGGGTTTGATGTGTATTGATATCGTAGTATGCGAGACACAATGTAACTTTTTAGTGAGAATAAGCACAACAAACAAAAAGTTTCACATTTTGTCAACCGGTTGATCTTTTTTACGATTTCAATCCACGGCAAACCCGGTAATCTGTTTATCGTACTATTTCTAGCGTCTAGACTGTTTTACATTTGGTTGTCCTAACGAAAGTAAGCTTAATATTAAAGTTCTGCTCTCATTTTGTGACGTCGCGTCGTTAACTTCTCTTCACACATTGGGACGTCGCTGATACGTTCTGCTCACGTCTCAGAGCCGTAATACGAATTAAACATGGTGCTATAGGCACAATGAACTACGATAAAGCTGTAATATTAGCCATTGTACCAACTACAAAAACCAGGTTAATCAAATATCTTATGCAATATGAAAATGGGGTTTGACATAACATTCACAAACAGCTTGAAATTAATAGTTTGTTATGTGACATGGTAGTGTTTCTACTTTTATATGTAAAAGGAAACGTAAGGTACTCGTCAAACAGACCCACATATGTAAAAGGAAACGTAAGGTACTCGTCAAACGGGTCTGTACATAATGTGGGTCTGTTTGACGAGTACCTTACGTTTCCTTTTACATATAAAAGTAGTCATTTGAAAAAAAAAACGTATTCAGGATGTCAAACGACGTACCATATTTTCGGCTGTACACCGTAATATTATTAGTACAAAAGTAAATTTCCATAGCGCAATTGTTTCACACATTTTTTTATTAAGTAAACAGAAGACGGTTGGACGCCATGTGATGAAAATTGTTCTCGCCAGCTCTTTATAACGTATACTAGTATATAAAAATATAAGATGAGGGTTTGGATACCATAAGTCTAATAATAATCGACACCATTTACTTCTGCGTAAATTCTTACAATTCGTATTAGATCGTCTCCCTTTTTTTAAATATATCTTGGTTGTATTTTTGAGTCTGAATTGGTTTCTTGTGCGTTTGAGCGGTTACACAATAATTTATATTAGTTATCTTTCCTCACATCACTTTTGATTTTCACAGTACGTGTACGGTGTTGAAAAGGACATCAACTAAGTTAACCAGTCTCTTATATGTGAAGTCAGTAAACTGGTTTCATTATGACAGGAGATATAGATATCACTGTGTCTAAACTACCCCGGCAAAAAATGTTTGGACTCGATGGTATCTAATATCCGGCACGGTGATGGAACATCAATAGACAGAGAAAAGGTAGTTTTCTGTTTATTTATTTGTTATTGTTATGATATCGAAGAATATTTATACATATATAACTGTTTTCTATTGTGAGATGTAATATTTTCTACAACCGTTCTAGATTAACGGAGAAATAAGTAAAAGTGCACGTCAAAATGACGAATTGAGTGAACCTTGCCTCGAATTTGTTTAACTTCTCCTTAAATTGTTCACATGATACGGAAAGAAAGATATTGACATGGAGATAGCAAAACTAGTCACTTTGAACACCTCAATACTTGTATTTCTGCGTATGGAACGAAAGAAATGGGTCATGTCAAAATGGAAGCACCCGGTTTTGTCAATGTGTACAACCCGGTTTTGTCCTAGATTTCACAAGGCAGAACCCGGTTTTGTCAAAGAAAGAAAAAATGCCTAATCGCATAACATAATTGAACTTCAGCAATTAAAAGGAGTTTGGTGGCTGGTTGGAAAACGATTTCTTACAGAGGACAACCTGTTATTTATTTGAATCTGTAAACACTTAATTCCTACTTTATTGGAACAAAAATAATTACAATTTTGCTTTGCATTAAAAAAAAAATACTCTAAAAAGATAGAAATGAAGGTTAAACCGCAAATTGAGTTTTAAGCCCTCTAAACGTTTTTTTTTTTATGAATTATGTAAATTTTAGTGTTTAAACTTAAAATTAGAGTTTATGGTCTTAAAAATTGAAGGACGCACATTTGATATTTGATTTTCTTGCACAACAGGATGGTTATCTTTATAAGTAATCTAATCTACCTAGGGGTGTAATATTTCCTATGATCGTTTAAAATAAATCTTCTTAAGGCTAAATGTTCATTTTAAGGCATGATAACCAAACAAATGTATATATGCTTGCAGAATCGCCATAGAAACTGAATGTTTATGGTGAGAAAAGGATTACAATAATCATGCATTAAAAATCAAATCTATCTATCCCTAATTGTAACTATAATACTAAATATGAATTAGTATTATAATAGTCTCAGGCCATCGAGAAAATGTTATAATGATAGTTTATTAATAGTTGTATTAATAAACGGTTCTGTTATCTCTCCATTGTGTCATGATTATCGTGCATTGATGTTGGTGAAAATATTATTGACAATATATAGGGACGGATTCAGGTTTTTTCAAAGTGGGCGTAATTCAAACAGCTTACATACCGCAGAGCGTAGCGAAGCGAACAATGTTTTGGACGAATTATGCTGAATATAATCGTAAAAAAAAGATTTAATTATTTTTGGGCCATCAAAGGTAGGGTGGGGGCGTGTGACCTATACGCCGCCTGGATTCGCCACTGATGTTATAAACTAAATCGTATACCAACTTAAAATTTTACAAGAAATAAGAAAGGAGGGACACCCGTGAAATTGGATGTATGTGAGTAGGATTATCATGTTTATTCTAAAAATTCACATTGATATTTTGGAATTGTCGGAATGCGAGACCAAGGGATGCAAATTCGTGGCAGCTTGAACTATTTGTATGAAGTTTCATATGTCAGAAGTTAGAAGGCCTGACTGTATAAATAATACGTAGTATTTATTTTTGTAAAAAAAAATCGCAATTGAAGTTGTTTTGCCATGTCTGCCGGTAGTTTATCTCGTTCGTGTAAGCCTTAATTATGAAATGTTAGAATTTTTTTAATTCAAGAACGGTGCAATCTTGTTTGGAATTCTTGGTTGGTTTTAGCTCACCTGACCCAAGGGAAAAGTGAGCTTTTTTCATCACTTGGCCCCTGTCGTCCGTCGTCTTCCGTTAATTTTTTACATAATCTTCTCCTCTGAAATTACTGGGCTACAATACATTTAACAAACCTTATCCACAATCTTATGTCGGTTTTAAAAGGTCTAACGAACTTATGTTTAACTGTTTTTCATCATCATTGGGGTATCTAGTTTAAAAAGTTTTTGATGACCCCCGCTTGTCAACAAAGATGACCGAAATGGCTTAAAATAGAACATAGGGGATGCAAGTTTTGTCTATTATTTGAAAACAGCTATAGATAGAGAAAATTTAACAGAGGCAGATATGTTCCTACATATAAAAGTTAAAAGAAATAAAACAACATTGACAAAACCGGGTGCTTCCACTCTGACATGACCTTTTTCTTTCGTTTCATACGCAGAAATACAAGGATTGAGGTGCTCAAAGTGACTAGTTTTGCAATCTCCATGTCAATATCTTTCTTTCCGTACCATGTGAACAATTTAAGGAGATATTAAACAAATTCGAGGCAAGGTTCACCCAATTCGTCATTTTGGCCTGCACTCGAATGCTCTTGAGTGTTCCCTACAAAATTGGCATTGATACGGTACGGTTTGAAGTTGTTATGGGGGCTCATTTTTTGGCAACTTCTTATAAATTACAACTAAAAGATTGAAAGTATATAAACAGTGACAAATATAATAAAAAGTGGCATTTCACAACTAACTTTTTATGATAGACTGATTGGTGAAGGTTATAATTATATCGGTTTCAAATAATTGCATTTAGTGTTTTAATGCATTAATGTTGTATAAATTATATAATATAAACTTGTATGTTTTGAAACAATAAATGTCTCTTTCACTCAACCTTTTAAACGCAAGATTATGCCTTTTTATACCATGCATGACGTTGCGATCTGGCCTTGCGGTCATAAAGGTTTCGAGCACGATTATTATACTCAGACTCAGAAATCAACCAATCAATATACTGGATTTGGTGTTGCGAGCACAAATTTTGTACTCCGAGTACGGAGTAAGTTTTATGACCGAGGGGCCTGGCCTTGCGGTCATGTAAAATTTTAACACGACCATCGTACTCACTCAGAATTGAACCAGTCAAATTTCTGGATTCATTGTTTCGAGCACAAATTATGTACTCCGTGTACAGAGTAAAGTATTTTGACTCAGAACCAAGAATATCGTACAGCCGCCGATTTAAAAAGGGGGGGGGGGTCTTTGACCACCTTTATTGTCCTTATTTGTACATTTGCCAAAAATGTAGATCAAAAATAGAGGTTTGAGTGCTACCTGTTTGTCAGGAACTTCGTCAGTGGTTTTCTTTAGTTTTGTCCTTTATTGCTGTTGATGGTTGAATTTTGTGCATTTTGTGATTCTTGTGTTTTGGAGTTTTCTCTCATTGACTTCCACATTAAAATTCATTTTATTCCGACATACATCAGGATTGATTGAAATAAGAAATCGAATCTGTATTTTATTGGATCTCCCTATCCGATACCTTTTACTACACTACTATATAAAATAAAACAAAAGTATACTGAAAAAATAAAAATTCAATTTATTACATTAGTACAAAAAATCATTTTAATCTCTTCTTACTGAATAAACTTGAAATTACTTTCTGTGAAAACGCATGTGAAAAGTCTGCCCGCCGGATTTTTGCATTATATCAATTTTTGTTGTTGAATATTCTTCGCATAAAACTGCATAAACAAATAGAACAGAATCAGTGTAAAGTTTATAAATAAGCAGAAGTTATTAATCAATTATTTTGAGTGCAAACCAACATAATCCCCGCAATAGAATAATAAAATCGGCTGTCTGGTGTCTGTACTTGTGATTTTCCGTCCCTGTTTACACACCAGCACCTGAAAAATATTTTTCTGTCAATTAGAATGAACAAGATTTCAATGTATGCCATGCAACTCGTATCTATCCATACACTTTAAACTATAAACAGGCGAGCTCACTTAAGAAGTTAGACCTGTGTTATGGGGATAACTCTTTAAATCAGTAAGCCGTTTGTAAAATAGGCAGTTTCGCCAATGCGTTTTAAGAAGACATGTGGAAACAAAATTAGAAATAATCTGTGTTACACAGTAGCTTAGGATGTATTTGTGAAAATAGTTGACAAAAGTGTATCAGTGATTTTTAGATCTAGGTCTTACTCCTTTAAATGAGTTGATTCATTTGAAACTGCTAATGGTTTTTGTTTTGTTATAAGGTGTCCGATTTACAATTAGTTGTCTGTTTATTTATGAATTAACTATTAGGACATGCTGAGTTTTATGACAAATTCTCTAATGTTTTCAAATGTATGTCATGTTGTCACCATGCACTCAATTTGCAACAATAGTTTCAGGGGTTTTTCAAGGATTTCTACAGATCATTCATCTATTCAAGAATGGTATCAGAAGACAAAGACGAAGAAACAATACAGTATATGTAGTTTTTGACTGTATTCCTTGTAATGGAAAACAGTTAAAAACAAAACACCTTTGTCACAAACACTCCAAAACCGTTCAACTGATACAAAACCGTACCTTTCAAGATAGCATTGTTTAGGAGAAAATGAGCCGTCCATAATACAGCTAGGAGAAAAGCCGTATCTACTGGCAAGCATTGTTTGTGCCCAGCAGTTCTTTAACATTTTTGGTTCCTCCCATGGGACATTTGCTACAAAACAGAATGTGACGGATTTTACGCATTAAAAATCTTTAGCGGATTCCTATAGAGGTTTGAAATAATTTGATAATTTATATTTTTATTTTACTTTGATGTGCGACTGAAATAACGACAATTGTATTAGGACTAGTTTTGTGGTTAATGTCATCTAAAAATTATTTTGAAATCAATTGCGCATGCTTTAATTTTTACTTGGGAATTCGAAATGACAAAAATGCAAATAATTATAAAACCTTAGTTAGATAGAACAAATATTTTACTTTTAACGCAAATATGATCTTTTGAATTTGTACAGCAGTGATATAGGAAAGTTACCTTTTGCGTCTTTTGAAAAGTAAGATAAATATTCCTGTTCATATAATTCTTGTAAAGCAACTTGACCAGAAGGCTTCCCTCCCAGATGTTTGTAATGAACCCCAGGTATCTTTACGTCCTTTGCTAATCGAACGTCTACTTTATGGGAAGAGGACTCGTCTGAGTTTTCATGAATTTCAAAATTATCGCTTTTGTCTGATCGATAAGTTGTCCAGTTTTTCTTCGATTTTTGACCTTTAGCCTTTCCACTTTGTTTAGGATGATCGGAGTAAAGTTCGTCTTCATCATCTTGAGTTCGAACTGCAAAACAGAAATGAAAGATAAATGGTTATGACCTCATGAAACTGAGCATATATTTTTAACAGTCGTTAAATGCTCGAATCAGCACGACGTCAAAACCAAATTTACCTTCATTTCCTTTTCATTTTAGACAACCAAATCTCGTTTGCTATGTCCTTTCAGAATAAGTCGTCTGCTGATCGGACATGACTGAAAGATTTAATTATATCTTTTCTGCGAAGTATTTTTGTCAGTTTGTGTACCTTATTGTATCATAATCGGACAATTTTATAATGGGAGTGGGAGGAACCAAAATTTACGTATTTCTTTGTTAGAATATTTAGAAAAAAAACTCCAGACAACTAATGTAACTATGACAACAGCTAAATTGAGACGTCACAATACCATTGACTTTGCAATCATGATATTGACTGCCCTTTAAAGTTCATTAGTTCATCACCGATACTAATCTGGCTCTTGTTAGGAAGTCAAAATTCTACTTTTACAATATTCAAAAATATAAAATCGACGTTGTTTGAGTAACACGACGAGTGTCACATGTGGAGCATGAGCATCTAACCCTTCCGAAACACCTGAGATGACCCCCGGTATTTGGTGGGGTTCGTGTTGCTCAGTATTTAGCTATTAACATTGTGTTTTGTATACTTTTGTTTGACTTTTTTTTTACATTGCGTTGTCAGTCTATCATCGACTTATGAGTTGCTATCTTCCGCCTTTCCTTTTCAATACCTAAAATTTAAGGAAGCAATCAATATACAGGAACGATGTAACAAACTCAAGGCTCCAAGTAGTCTTCGTTGCTCATTTTATAAGGAGTCCGCATTGCTCATCTGTTAAATAATGTTAACGATACCAATTTTATTGCACCAGATGCGCATTTCGACAATTAATGTTCCTTCAGTGATACTTGAGGCCAAAATAAAACAAAGGTAATATATTTAGTGAAGTCTCTCACCATCTTGAATCGTAAGTGACAACAAATGATCATTGACACTTTTTTTTTGTGCAATTAGTAAATTTATTTATGCTGGAATTTGAGTGCAATTCGCCGTTTCAGAATCAAATGCATTCTAGGTAATATTCTAAAAATGTCGTGATTGGTTAAAAACGTTCTAAGCAATGGAAATTCAACCAATGACGTGACGTTATTTTCATCTTAGGGTACGAACAATAAAATTACCCATAGTCCTTTAGGTTCTGAGATGGCCAAATAATTTAGGAGACTTTTCATCTATACACCTTATCGCTAATCCCGCTTGACCCGAGAATCAGTCCCGCTCGAACTTTTGACGTCATACAACAATCACTTTTCCATTGTGGCGTCAGATATTTTCTATTATGACGTCAAAATTTTACGGGAACTTGTGTGATGTCCAGTAATGGCGGACAAATAGCGATAAGGTGTATTATAAAGGAATGTATAAGACTTTATCTCATGATACATATTTACCAAATACAGAAATAGTTTTATCTTTTATCGATTAAAAACGTTTCACTCTGCTTTATAAGTAGAGATAATTTAGTTTTATACAGGAATGTACAGGAAACTTTATCTATAATATTGCTATGTTGCGAAAAGAGGTACGACCCAATTTTTTTTTTCTGAAAGCATTTTATCTTCTCATTCTTCATTTAAAAAAATTATCCTCTACTTTCTTTCTGTAACTTGAAAACAATTTCGGTTTAATATCTATTTGAAAATATCACCATGCAAACATTGTGGCCAAGTTATAAAAAAACATTCCCTCATTTTTATAATTATACCTCCAAACTTCCTTATAGGGCATGATGCTGACAATTATCTTCACAGATTTCAAATTTCATGGCGTTTTTGGCAGTATGTGTTAGTATTGAAATAATAAAACAATGTGGGCGTGCCGCGATGATACGATTCGTCGAAATGGTATTACTAATTTATAACTGTTAAAATATGTTTTTATAACCAGGTTTATCAGATCCCATTCGAAATTAATTTAGGCATGTCATGAAAGAATTCAGTCGAAGTAACATATAATATCATTATCTTATGCGGGTTGGACATTCTGCCATTTTTTTTAATCTAACATATCACGTAGTAATACGTAACTAATGTGCATGCATGGCCAAAAGTATTCGGCATAAATTTTTTTTGGCTATATATTTTATATAAAAACATATTTTTTCATTAAATTATTTTGAATACATTCTTGTTGAATTTTTACAACTAACCAGGTCGCACATTATTTGAAAATATATAATACCTATAGAGTGTCCTGATTTTATACATAATTCATTCATTGCTGAGAAAGTTAAAAAAAAAAGAGTGTGGTTCAAAAATAGTCAAAATCAATAAACATCTGTGTGCCAGACATAACTTTTACAGGAAACTTTACGACGAACATCGGACGTCAAGTGATACCATTAATTTAACTCTCATTTGCTTTGTGTTCAAGCAAAAAGTCGAAAGAAAATAAATTAAAAGACCGGCGTTCCAGTGCCCCCCCCCTTCTCCCCATTATTCTCTATTTATATTTCAGCACCCTTAGGCCTAATGCCTCTTATCCTCTATTATTTTTGCCTATTTTTCTTTCTTCTTTTCTTTTTTTTTTTTGCCATTGTTCTACACTTTTGTCCATTATTCTCTACTCTGTAAACCTCATCAAGAACGTCATCTAAGGACAGTCGATAAAAACATGTTTAACAGTACCAATTTTCTACACCATATGTGCATTTCGACAATTACTGTCTCAGTTCAGTGATGCAAATCCGAAGCACCAAACCTTATACATACGTTGAAGAGCTGATAAAACCATAAAAAACTCAAAGAAAAGCCAAAGCCGGAAAATGAGTCAGAACTGAGGGGCCTAATGGGGGGGGGGGGTCTCATCACGATTCACGAGTTGATTTTTTTGTCAATCACGATTCACAGAAAATAAATTTCCATGATCACGGATCACGAAAATATAAAAAAAAAAATCTGTAGAAAAACGGATCACGATAGCGAAAATGCGCCGATCACGAAGAACGAAAATAACACATCAGGCCCCTCAGAACTATGCTTGAGGGAGATACATAGTTTAAATTTTTGCTAAAGAAATATATCTAATGAAACAAATACTATCGCGGCATCTTCGGAGATAAGAGACATTTGTCATCTCTAGATTGCTAAATTTTCATTATTCATTTAAAACTCTTGATAGACCTTATCGCTATTTGGAAATCTGCGCCGCTTGAGCAAAGAGTCTATGAACTATTGACGTCATACAACAATCACTTTTCCATTGTGGCGTCAAATGTTTTCTATTATGACGTCAAAATTTCACGGGAACCTTTGTGATGTCCAGTAATGGCGGACAAATAGCGATAAGGTGTATTTATATGTATGAAAAAGTAAAACAAATATTTTCAATCACACAATTTTAAAGTCTCTTTGAAAATATTTGTTTTACTGTTTCATACATATAAATCAAGAGTTTTAAATGAATAATGAAAATTTAGCAATCTAGAGATGACAAATGTCTGTTATCACTCAGAGCAACAGAAAAAAAGAAAAAATGAAAATAAGTCACTAAGCAAGGGCGGGACTAGAACTATTGAGGGAATACACCAATCACTTTAACTGTCAAATTATGGGGTCATGAATGCTCTCTAGTGACATCAAAATGTTTCGGGAACTTCTGTGATGTCAAGGAATGGCGGACAAAAGGCGGTAAGGTGTAGTAAAAAAAGGAGCAAAAAAGAAGACAACAATTGAAACAAAGAGTTGCGCCATGAGCGCTTGATACGCTCGTCTTTATGCTTTAAAGAATTCATATGATCAACTAGAAATGGGTGCAATCAACAGGTTTTTTTTTTATCTATGACATTATATTTTGAAGGACCCTTAGTCGTGATATTGTTAATAAATACACTTGTATACAACTAGATATCACTGGAACCAGAATTTTCCTTTTTTTTATATTGAAATAAAAATAAAGTGTCATTTTAACATATTAAAAAAGGTCCAATCGGAGAAAATGAAAATAAATGCCCAATCTCAACATGGAAAAACCTGAAATCAGGTCATGTGCATACTCGTGTAGGCAAGATACAGGCACATTTCAGATAATCAAAAGTGTATGAGTTTCAAAGATGTATACCTAGTCTTTCAAAGAATTCTCGCTTCAGGGTACGTTCGCTTGCTCCGGACAGAGATACAGTAGCACAAATAAGTTTTCAATTTTCACTACCAAAAATGCAGGAAGTTTACAACAGATACAGTTCAGTCTGCCTCATATCTTGACTTACATCCAGAAATTCACAATGAGGGCCGGTTGAGAACAAAACTTTACGACATAAGGGAGGATTTCAGCTTTTCAATTGTGAACTTTCCATTTCTATGTAGTAACATTCCAACAGCGCCTGCATACGGAGTATATATCTCCCAGTTGATACGATCGATGCTAGAGGGTTGGCTCACAAGGAAGCTATTAAAACAAGAGTTCCAAGTGGTGATGTTGCAGTCATCCCTTCATAAATTTTAAGAACGCCATCACGAATTGGTTGACCGTTATGGAATATCAGTTTCACAGATGATAACGGATATGTTCCAATTGTCGTAACTACAATCCCGTCCCCCTTTCCCCGAATGTGACCTACCGAATTAGACTCATTACCGGGTTTGTAATAACATGACGGGTGCCACAAGTGGAGCAGGATCTAGGATCTGCTTATCCTTCCAAAGCAAATGAGATCACCCCCAGATTTTGGTTGGGTTAGTGTTGCTCAGTCTTTAGTTTTCTATGTAATATGTTGTGTTTTG